AACCATCATATCATTCTTACTTGTCCAATTCCCTAGTAAGCATCATTTGCAATTTTGAAGTTTTCAAAAGTATGAAATAAATGGCTTTTTAATGTTTTTGTATATTAGTATAAGATGCAAGAGAGGTAGCTGACATTGTTTCCTATGTGCCCTGAATGCCGAAGAGAAAATTAACTTGAATTACGGCAAGAGAAGATGTGGTTAGTTCTAAGCAAGTCATGACTGTGGGACCTGAGTGTTGAGCTAGAATCAATTGCCCGATACATTAAGAGTGAGAAGGTGTAAGCCAGGGGGAGTTAGCCTGAAGGTTGCAGAGGAATGGGCCAGCCCAGTGTGGCTCCCGGAGCTCCCAGATACTCGTTTATTAGCAGAAGCATCTGGAGGATTCTTTACAAAACAGGGTCCTGTGCCCACCCCTACAGGACATTGGGATTCTGTTACACTGGGGTTGGCCCTGACTTTTAGCCAAATGATTTTCCTGTAAAATTCTTCTCTAATCTTAATTTTATCAACCAATAGCAGAAGCATTTGTCAGGTCTATGAGTCAAATGAGCTGAAGAACTGCTCCATAGATTGGAAGAGGAAATTTCCTAACAAAATAGGAAAAAAAGGAAGGGGCCTTCAAATCCAAGGGGGAGACATCCTGGGCAGGTGGCTTGTTAGTCTCTTCTGCCGTCACTGCCAGGCCACAGAGTCTGCTTCTAAACTACCCTGCTCTCCCACCTACCTCCCCCTCCCACTCCCTCCCAGCTGTTTATAACTTAAAATCATTTATTAAATCTTGTGGGTCTTGAAAAAGGAAAGACCTCATCTACAGATTATTTTTAAAGCCATTACTGCTCATGAAGGATTAGGCAGTGAACTTCATTGAAAATTCTCCTCTCGTCCTCTCCATCTTTAGCTAATATTCTCCAAGCATTTGACTGTTCAGGACATAGTACTAGAGGGGCCGGCCTGGTGGCACAGCGGTTAAGTGTGCACGTTCCACTTCAGCGGCCTGGGGTTTGCAGGTTTGAATCCTGGGTGTGGACATGGCACCGCTTGGCAAGCCATGCTGTGGCAGGCATCCCACATATAAAGTAGAGGAAGTTGGGCATGGATGTTAGCTCAGGGCCAGGCTTCCTCAGAAAAAAAAAGAGAAGGATTGGCAGCAGTTAGCTCAGGGCTAATCTTCCTCAAAAAAAAAAAAAAAAAAAAAGAAGAGGGGCCTGTAGAGCCAGAAAGTAAGGAAGTGCTAAAAGAAAAGACATAGTACCAGATGCAGAGGACAGGTGGCCACCAGAGCACCCAGCCATCTCCTTCCTCTCCCTTCACATTGTTTCACGGGGTCTCTAAACAGCTTGTTTCCCCCTTTTTCTCTTTCTCCTGTCCTTAGAAACAACCTAAATATCCAACAATAGAGAAATGATTAAATAAATTAGAGCATGATCTGAATAAATGGGAGACATTCTATGTTCTTAGGTGGGATAACAACATTATTAACATGTTGATTCTACTAGGAACTGGAGAAATACAGAGTAAATGAGATAAAGTTTTACATCTATTAGCCTGGCAGAAAGAGAAAGCTGGATAAGAGTGTAGGTGGGAAGTGGGGTTATAGGAACAGCATGAACCGCATGCACCCATGCACATGATTACAGACTGGGGCAACCATTCTAGGACCATGTGGCAATAACTAGTCAAATTAAACAAGTGACTCATAAATTCCACTCTGGGTATCTATCCTAAGAAAATGTCACATTTCCACAATGATATTCAATGCAGCATTATCTCTGGAGAGAGGAATTCAAAGCAATTCAAGTGTTCATCACTAGGAAAATGGTTAGGTAAAATGTGGAAGACGTCCACCATGGGGTATTATACAGCAGTTAGAAGTAACGGACAGGATACAGCTATAGCAATGTAGTTGAATCTTAAACATATAGTGCTGGAGGAGGTCATCAAGAGGCCATAACTGCTGGTTGACCCATGAGCTGGACCCAGGCAACTGGAGGCTCCTCATGCCCTCCCCGCCCTTGGACTGTGTACTCTGCCCACCATTCCCACAGAGGGAGCCATTTTGAAGGATGCAGCCTTGAGAGAGTGAGGTTTTATTGAGACCATCTGGATGGTATACATGACCAAACCCAATTAAGTCTTTACATAAATTTGCAAGATTCTGGAGGGCAGCTGTGGAGATCTACTTGTCTTGTAGAGAAGCTTCACATGTAAGTTTCTCTTGCTTACTAAAGCTGCCGCCCCCAAATCTGGACTGGTCGGCCTCTTTCTCTGGTCTCTTCTTGACCTCCATATATGAAGGGCCAGTTTGGGAAATGACGTACAGGGCTTGATGGAAACAAAGCAACCCAAAATGACGTATTAACACGATCACTTTTATAAATTAAAAATATATGCATACAAAGCAATTATATCTCTATTTTGTAAGAAGACAAAAAGATAAACCATTAACATAGCTGTCTATGGGGTGGGAGAGGGGGACAAAAGGGAGTGTAGAGATAAACTAAATGAACCTAGGCATAAGCCAATGTTGATGGGCCAAGAACTGAAGAGCATGACCTCTATCATCTGCACCTGAGGTTCTCCGCTGTGAACGTCCACATCATGGAACGCCATGCAGCCATTATAAATAATACTATAGAGGCATATTTATAGACATTGAAATATACTCGAGATTTAATACTAAGCAAAAGAGTAGGTTACTAAACATCATGCCCACTATTCATTTTTTTTTTGAAAATAAAAAATCTATATAAATTGAAGAATGACAGAGTGGCTGGTGGGATTGCAATGATTCAAACATTTTTTTCTTGCTTTCCTGTATTTCTCATTTGACTTCAATGAACCTATATCGTGTAATAAAGAGAAAATGAGGGTTTTTAAAAGACTTTTTTTGTTTTCATAAATAAAGAGAACTGATTGGTTGTAAGAATTTATAGGTACTGAAGGGAGGAAGCCTTTTTCTAAGGCTTTGTGTTTTCAAACTCAAACGGTCAAGCTCAAGCTTTAGGATTTGCTCTTCCTTTTCCTTGGGGACAGAAGGAGCTATAGTTGTTTTAAGGATCTCCATTTAAATGCGGCAGAAGGCTGAGGAGCTGGGACTCACACTACAGCGTGGTGCCACAATGATGGATGCTGGGTGGGCGCCCACAGGAACTGCCCTCAGTCCTGACAAGAGTAAATGGTCTCCAGCCTGGGCAAGTCACTTCAGCACAGGACTGTTTAACGTAGTGTATGTATTCCAAAGGGACAGGACTTTCAGGAAAGGCATTTTTATTCAGACGGGTTAGGGATGGAGGAAAGGGTGATGCCAGCCTGACATATGGAGATGTGGCAGCTGCAACATGCTTGCTTCAGGCCTTGCAAACATCTTCATTCTTCTCCTCCTGGCTGCTGACAGCCCTCTCCGGGCAATGCTTAATGAAACAGCAGACGAATATTTGTTAGAGGCTTTCAGCTCTACAGTATTAATAAACTTTTTGTAAAGCTGTGTGGGGCAATGACTGGTAAGTATGTGATCTTTCTTTTCCCCATATCTGAAAAGACATGACTGGCCTGTCAGTGTACAGGGAACTCCAGCCTCGGAGCAGACTGTCCTTTTGAAGTGCTTGCTTTCATCAAGTCCTGGGATTGACAGCCCTACCGTCCAGCTGCGATGCTATGAGAGATGGCGAGTTTGTCTTTTGAACTGCATGGTCCCAGAAATCAGAGAGATGCTGCTGCATGTTTTTCTAAGAGGACTGGGGCTAAATGACTCCAGTCTGGGGTCCGAGGTGTCTAAATTGCCAGAGAACTTCAACCTGGGCCAGATTGACTGACTTTAGATATGCAAAAAGTAATGAAACCAAGGTTCAACAAAGCTGTGGTTATTTCTAGCTTCCCTTGATATATGAGTCTTGTAGTACATTATTAACTGGGGTAGGAGGTAGAAAAAGAGGAATGAGTTAAAAACATAGTGGTAGGAGGAAAATTAAATTTAGAGAACTACCCTACCATTGAGTTCCTTAATGCCTGGCCTATATGGAAGGAAGCGAAGTTCTGTAGTTAATATAGCTACACTTTTTCATGTTACATTTGTGTTGTGAACTGAAAATGCTAGATGGGAAATTGCTTACTGATTAATTAGAACTAATAAAGGAGCCCTATTACAGAGAATGATTAGATTCCTTGGCTCATAGTTTCCCACCAGTCATCAAGTGTGTCATTTTGCACCATGACTTTCCTGCACATAAAAAAAAGAAAAAAAATGAGATGGCTTAGATCATCAGTAGAGGGGCCTGGATGTGAATTCAATTATATGACAGCTGCTAATGTTTAGAAAGGTCAAGAGCTTTAGAAAGAAACCAGAAAAATCTGGATTCTAATCCAAACTCTCTTTACAGGGTGTGTATTAAGCAAATTACATAGCCTGTCTGGGCCTGTTTCCTCATCTGTAAAATGGGATGCCACCACCATTTGGTCTGAGGATTGTGTTGGGATCAAATGAGATGGCAGATGAAAAGCACCTTGTCTAGTACTAAGTATACATATAGAAGGTAGACAGTAAATGTTAGGTTGCCTCCTTCCTTCCTGATGGTTTCCATGTTTTTTAATTATGAGGGAGGAGATGGGAGGCGAGGAAAAGAAAGATGAAAGGACATAATGGTCATCCATGGAGCAAGGTGTGGGGAGAATTGAAGGAGGTGGTGTCACTTAGAAAGGACACCTCTTCCCAAGACTGTAGTGAAGACGGTAAATGTGGTGTGGTAACTGGTAAGTTCTGCAGGTAAGAAAGAAGGTTGGTAGAAAAGACAAGAAGGAGTTAAAGGAAGAATGGAAAAACGGAAGAACTTAATCTTGAAGAATGGAACATGTTTGTGTAAGTTAAAAAGAACTAACAAACATTCCACTTAACGAAAAGCAATCTGCAAAAACTCATACTTTTTTCCATAATATAGAGTTATATTCAGTAACATTTTGGAGACGGTATGTATGTGTTGATATGGGAAAAAACTTAGTCATAATCTTTTCATGCTAAATTTTTATTTCAATGTTATGCAACTGCATAAGTATAAATATTTGTTCAATATACAACAATTATGACATCCATAGGGAATTTCTTAGAGAAAATAAGACCGCAAACACTTTATTGCACAGATCCTAACAAACTTTTAAGCTGGTAAATCTACAGCTGGGAGTACTACCGAGGAGCACATCTTACAATCACAGGAGACGGACCAAGGAGAACACAGGAGAACTTCTACCAGCTGATTGGAGAGGTTTACAACAAACAGGTACTACATGAATGCAACCTCAGGTACTCTTTACTCATCCAAAATGCAAAAACATATTTGGCAAAAATGATAATACACTATACAAAATATACATAAAAATATCATTTGTAAACAAGCAGCTAGTTGTGCTTTAAAGGAAACTGGACAGTTAAAAAGCAAAGGCTGTAAACCATGAACTACCTCCCCGATAGACCTGTCTCGATGTCTGAGTGCAGAAGGATTGCGTTATGACAACCGCCAAACACAGATCCGAATTATAAATGCTGAGACCGCTTTTGAAACTCATTGAAGTTCTCGTAAAGTATTTGTTTCTTCTACAATTTCACAACATAGTAACGGGGAATGGCTAAAACTGCATGGGGAAAAAGGTGAGGGACAAGGAGACTCTTTCCTGTTTTGCCGTTGTCAACCTATCTTACAATGAAGGACAACCAGGCAGTAGATTAAATGATGCCTTTGTTTTTGGAGCGGAGTTTATAGCCTCGGTAAATGATTTACAATCCACAGGGCTGTAAGATGTTGCTGCGCTTAGATGAACAATTTTATAGCCTGAAGATACTAAGACATCTCCGAGGGGGTTAGGGTGCTAGATTAGTATTTAATGACAATTTTTTTCTCTTACAAAACAAAAAATCCTGCTATGGATCCCAAGCATCTTATAAATACTTATCTGTGTGTGTTTCTCTTAGTGCCTTAGTACTTATGTCAGCAAGTGCTGTCTTACAATAGAAAACAAGCCACCAGGAAAAACTGCAACAAAAAACAAACAAAAAACCCCCTCAGCACTAAAGTGATTTGACAAATTCTACATATCCCATGGTATACAAAATTTAAATAAGGCTTAGCAAAAGTAAAAAGGACAGTCACATTCAAGCACCAAATAGCTCCAACAAGTCTTTTTGTTACAAAAATGCTGCTCTTTATTAATACAGTATTTTTTTTTTGCATACAAATAAAGAGACCATGTTATGAAATGTATGGAGCTACTCGATGCATCAGAAAGGAATGTGAAACCCAGGAACTTGCTAAAAACAGCAAGCTTCATCTACAACATAAGGCCCCAGCTATGTATTAAAATGTATCTGATGTCCTGATTATTCCTTAATATATATGCTATGATGCCAAAATCCACCCCCCTTTTCCTCAAAAAAGCAAATTTAACATTTCTTCCAATGCCTGATGCTTATTACTCAACCTAAGTACTCGCAGACTTGTGTGCAGCCAGGAATTTTCCTTTTTGCTCAAAAGCAGGGCTGGTACAGAACTCCTACAAACTGTGTGCTTCTTGGACTAGTGACTCATAGCATAAAGGCCTGAGTTTAAGAGCATGAGAAGGAGGAAAAGCAAGAGAACAGAAACGCAGTCGACGTGTGTTCATAGCCCCCGCTCTGCCTAGGGTGAAGACCCGACGTACACACCACAGACAAGGACAACTAGCCTTTCAGACAGTTGGACCCAGGATCAAAATGTCCATTAGGATGACTATGAAATGAAAGCCGCTAGCTCCATTTTTCTGGCCATTCCTAATGGAGGAGGATTCCAAATGCAGCCATTAGAGTAATTCTTGCTTTAGATCTGGAAACATAGGTAGCCAGATACAGTACTATCAAAATCTCTGGTTAAAAAAACACATAAAAGTCACAATCTACGGTATTTAGGGCTTTCTTTCATCTTTAACTCTACGTAGACTGTTTTAACTTAGCAAAATGTAGCCTTGAAATATTCTCTTAAACCACAAACCAAAACATGTGGGTGGATGTGTTCACACATGAACATGGGCGCATCTCTACTTTTACATACATCCCGTTGTAACCCTTTTGCGTCATTACTACATCATAAGTGGTAAAGCAAAAACCTCATTTAAAAAAAAGCTGGAGTGAACAACGCAATCAGCAGCAAGGTATTACCTCCACATCCCAAACCAAACACGTTGCTAGATATTTACAGAGAAAATCTTTTTCCTCGACAACCCTCAACTGTAAAGGATTTTTTTTTTTGTACAAACACTCTCTGGTAACAGTTTTACCGGTTACAATCGGGAAGGCATTTGGAAGAAGTCCCCTCTCTCTTTCCCCCACTTCCTTCTCTCTCCCCTTCTCAGTGACGCTCCAGGCTCGGCCTGGCAGACATGCCCACACAGTGCTGGTTTCACAAGGTAGTCAAGACTCAGTGACACACTCAGGTCGGGTCTCCCGGGTCCCCAGGGGCCCTGTGTCCTCACGAGGCCTTTTTCTGAGGGCTGCCCCGCCCACTCTCCTTGCCCCGCCTCTGCCGGACCACAGAGTCCTTCTCAGAGGGAAGGGCGACCGGGCGGTCAGCGGTGGGCGCTGGGCACAGCTTGGTCACCTCTCTGCCCACGGTCTGTTTCCTAGTCTGAGGAGGCTGGGCCGGGCCAGGCTCTTTCCCTTTGGTTTCTCCTATGGTGGCAGTTACTGAGAGGGCCCTGTCCTGGGGGCCGGCTCCCCCTGCCACATTTGGGTTGGGGTGGTGCCACTCCAGAGTGACGGTGGAGCTCCGGAAGGACGGCATGGAGTCGCTCTTGGTCATTTGGGTTCTGCCATCCCCCCCAGGCAGGGACTTCCTATGGTCCCTGTTGCTGGAGGCCTCGGGCTCGGCCGTGGCCCCGCTGGCCTTGGTGGCAGAGGCGTCGCCGCTGGTGGCGGAGGCCTCGCGGCCCGCGGGTCTGGCTTCAGCGGGGCCGGAGGAGGGGCTCAGAGACTTCTCCGCGGGGGCAGCAGAGCGGACAGCACTCTGCGCGGTGGCTGAGGCCGAGCGTTTCATGCCGCTGGGCTTGTCTGCCTCGCTCTGCGGCTTTTGGGGACCCAGCCCTTTCCGCTTGGCCTCTGGGGAGCCCTTGCCCGCCGCCGCCGGCCGCTCGGCGCCTCTGGGCCGGGCATCGCCGCCGGGAGCCGGGGGAAGGCGGCCCTCCAGCGCCGCGCCCGCCGCCTCCCAGCCCCTCAGGCCCTCGGCCTTCTTGTCCGCGGGCGGCGCCTGCGGACTCGGGCTCTTGTCCGTCTGTCTGCACAGAGGGGGGCAGTCTTTCACAGTGGATGGTTTGGGGTGCTTTGGAGACAGGTTCTGCTTTTCACTGACAGTGGGAGGTTTCTGGTCCACCGACTCACGAAGGCCCGGGGGTCCTTGCCGTGGCAGGTGCGCGGGCTTCTCCAGCATCTCGGGGGTGCGCCCACCACTGGCGGCTTTCAGCTTGTTGTCTAGAGGACCCCCTTCGGTGTGCAGTGGGGCTGACGACCCACTTGGTCCCTGGCTCACCGCATCGACGGCTGCGTGCCGGGAGCCTGGGAGGGCAGGGAGCGCACCCACCACATCCTTAGCGCTGCCCTTGCCCTCGCGGCTTGGGCCCACGAACGGCTGGGCGCCAGGCTCTTGTCCCGCCGCAGCCCCAGCGCTCGGCTTCTGCGAGGAGAGGGGCCTGTCTGCGTGCTTAGACTTTGGCGGGCCCGGGTCAGGGCCAGGCCTGGGCTTGTGGGGGCTGCTTTCACTGTGCACAGCAGCAGGCTTGGGAGGGCCCTGCAGGCCCGGGCTGGGTTCTGCAGCACAGGGCTTGCTCCCGGGCTCTCTGCCTGAAGGGTGGCTTGGTGAATTGCAGTGCTGCCGAGCGACCAGGCTGGGCAGTTCTTTGGTGATCGGTGGGGGCTGAGAGCTACTGCTAAGATGCTTTTGTAGAGGCTGTTCTTTCCTTTCTGTTTCCTTGGGACTGTCTTTCTGCAAAGATGGGAAACCGGAGAGCTTTTCACTCTTCCCACTCCCAGTTCCGGGTGGCTGCAGAGACTGCCTCGCAGGGGGTGCTTCAAGCTTGGGTTCCATGCCACGTCTTCCCTTGCCCAGCTCCCTGTCCCAAGGAGTCCCCACTGAATACAAAGAGGAGTCCTCTCTGGCCAGGAGCCTCCCCTCCTCTCGGCCATCTTTGTGGATCGTTTTCCCACAAGGCTCCCACGTTTTCTCCATGGCCTGGGTCTGTGTGTAGAAATCTGGGTAGGCTCTGCTCACAGAGGGGAGATTTTTGGACTTGTCACTGGTCTTAGCATCTTCTGGAGGTTGCAGCTCCGCAGAGGGGTCTCTGCGGACATCAGCCCTTGCACTAGTCCACTCGCTTCTGGCTGTGGAAGGGCCCCTTTCAGACGATTCCCTCTGGCCCTGCTTCTCCCTCAAGGGGGCACCTTCGGGTGGGAGCGGGCTGTGCAGCCTGGGTGGGTCGGCGCCATGGAGGTTCTGCCCCAGGAAGGGGAGGAGTGTGGTGTCGGGGCTGTGGTCTTGGTGTTTGCTGGGGCCACCTTCTCTCCGCTGGGGACCACTTTCCGCAACTGTCATGGGGCTCCTGGCAGCATGAGAGACTTTCCTGTCCTGCTTTAGCTCTGGGTCAGGCAGAGAAGATGCTTGTGAGTTCTGGAGACCCCGACTGGGTGGTTGGAACCGAGGCTCGAGCAGGTAGGATTTATTCGTCTTGAAGTTGGCAGGGGAAGGCTCCCTCTGACTAGAAACTTCACCTCTCTTCCCGCCACTGCTGGGGAGCGCCGGTGGCAGAGATGGCCCCACGTCACTGCCCGGGCTGGGGCTCTGTGCGGGCTCTGGGGAAGGCAGCTCTGTCTTGGAGGCTTGAGGTCCAGACAGGAGAGCAATGTCCAAAGTGCCCTCAATTGGCTTCAGGCATGACACAGACCTACCTTCCAGCTTATACTCCGAGGGGCTTTTCCGGACAGGTGACTCAGGAGCAACTAGGCCCGGCTTCTCGGCTCCACTGTCCACCCGGCCAGCTAAGGCCTTGAGAGGGACAAAGGAGACAGCACTAAGCTGAGCTGCGTGGGCGCTACTGATGAACGCTCGGCTCTCGGAGGCTGGCAGGGGCTCCTGCTGCCCGCCCACTGGCCGGACGGGGTTTCCGAGCAGGCATTCATGGGTACTAGATGTCACCTTGGGCTTCAGCACACTGCAGAGGCTGTCATCTTTGTCTTCAAGTGACATTTTCTTTCGGAGGTAATCAATATTAGCCAGCTTGCTGTCTAACTTCTCACATCGGAGACACTCCTTGGCCTGGGGGGCCTTCTCCGTGTTGTCCCCCTTCCCAGAGGTGGACCTGTCAGTGGAGTGACAGAGACTGTCTTGGAGAGTACCAGGAGTGGAGGTTCGTTTGAAGTCACAGGTGCCCTGGCTGTGGTCCCCGGGTGCTGGGCCATAGCCAGCTGCTGCCCCATCCGAGGTGATACCCTCACTGGCCCGCACACTGGCCTGCTTGTGGAGAGCATCTTTCAGCAGACTGCCCAGGGACTGGGTCTCCTGCATGGCTGCTTTGCTTTCAAAGTGATTTGACCTTTCTAAAGCCTTGGGATACATTTTCTTCTCCCTCTCTTCTAACCTAAAAGGAGACAGGTTTTCCAAATCACTACCAAGTCCGTGGGATTTCTGGTGGGCTTCTTGCTTCTCAGGGAAGCCGTCTGGTTTCTTCACCACCACCTTGGCCTTCAGCTTCTCTCGGTCCAGGTCGTCCACAGACTCCTGCCTTCCCAGCTTCCGGGAGACCGGGCGCTTCAGGCAGCCTTGCTCCACGGGCCGGGCCCGGCTGAGCGAAGGCGCGTCACACACGTTCTCCTCCAGGCTCTGCAAGGTCACCTCCCGCTGTGACTGCTCTCGCTGCACCTCCTCCTGGGTCACTTCTAGGCTGTGCTTGCGGGAACACAGGTGCTTCTTGTCACTGCCATAGGAGGGAGAGAGCTTCTCCTCCGACTGCACGCGCTTGAGCAGCGGGGACCGCGGGGGCTCTGCGCTCTTGGGCCGCACAATGTGCCTGACGATGGTGGGAGGGGAGTGCATTTTGCTAGGAAAGGCTTGAGAGATTTTGGAATTGCCCAGTGAGTGTCCCAACAGAGGCGATGGTGAGCGCTGCGGGGAGGTGGGCTGTGGCGTTGGAGAGGGTGTCCGGGCCAGCGGGGAGAGTGGGATGTTGCCGGCAGACTTGCGCCTGCCAGACCGGTATCGCTGCCCGCTGAGTTTGGGGGCCAGACCATGGAGAGTGCTGGGCCGGATGTGTCCTGACCCTGCTGGGGAATTGGGGGCACTGGAACTTGGGGAGCTGCTCTGGGAGGAGTTAGTACCTGTGGGTGGAAAACAGAACACTGTGAGCAATGGCCACCTTCCCTTTTCTTTCCATGCTTCCAGCCAAACTGTTTTAGGTAAGCTCAGGTAAAGGTTAGCAAATGGTCTCAGCATCTAACTCTAACGAATAAACACTTTTCAGATAAACCTCCCCTGCTCCAAGGTGGAATCCAACACTTGCTGTCTTTTTTTAATGGTCCGAAAAGCCATATTTTATGAGCTCCCTATAAATCCTGTTCTCTATCATTTTATCCTCAACCTGCTTCCTTAAGCTGGGAGAAGCCCCATGTCTTTCAGGATCTCAGGTGGTGACTTTGACCCCCTCTCAGCTCTCCCTGCCTTCTAGGCAGGCCTCTCACTCACCAGATGGGAAGTCGGGGGTGGAGCGATAGCTTGGCGTAGGGGATCGGGGAGACAAGCTGTGAGTGGGAGACCCCGGGAGGCTCTCCCCCGATGACAGGGATCGGTTCAGACAGGAGAAACTTCGGCTGGTGTGGAGTAAAGGAGAAGGCTGCTTGGCTAGTTTTTTGAAGAGGGATCTCCTCCTAGAGTGAAAACAGGAGAAAACCGATCAGATTGTACACTCAGAGCCACTCCTGCCTCCTGACAACCTCAGTGTATTGAGTTCACACCTCTGTGCCAGAAACAGTGGTATGATGGCACATCCCACTAAAGAGCGGCATCCCACCTTTATGTTAAAAACTTTTTTATGACTTAGAAAGGAAGAGTCTTTGATGTGCACAGTGGAAGCTCTCTTCTTTTAATTCCAAACACCTTAAAAAGAGCTGAGAAATTGGGAAAAATATGAAATATATTAAGTATACATTCATTTATTTACTTGTCAGGTTTATGAGGAAGCTGTTCTTTGCTTGAAGGCTTCTGAGTACACAGCCCCAGACACGCTGACACAATTTAATTAAAAGATAATACAAAGTAAAGCTCTGGAAGAAAAATCCTCATCTGGGATATGGAATTCCTTTAATTGTGATACATGGGCAGAGGCTTTCTCTATGGGGGCTGCTGGCTATGCCTATTCCAGGGTGGGCTCTTGAGTATTCCTAGCGACAATGTAAGCTGTGCATTCACGTAGAAAAAATGACAAAGGCGAACTGAAGCTTCTCATACCAGCAGGGCAGCAGACACCAAGCTGCAGCAGGAGCAAATGTGTATCTAATGCTGGACAAGCACATCTTAAAGCCAAAAGCACAGCTTCAGGCGGCTTAGAAGTGCAGGTGGCTGCAGAGTTCCTCTACCATCATGTGAGCCTGACTCACCCGTGTGAACTTAAGCAGGAAGTCCAACACTGCCACCCCCGAAACCGTGCGTTCTGTATGACTTAGGGCACAGTCCAAACACACAGTGCACACAGACACACACACCTCCCAAAGAAGGATCTCAGAATTTGTGTGTGTCATTTTAATCAAAGTAATAAGTGTACTTGGGTTAAAAAGTCAAATAGTTTTACAAACTTATAATGAAAAATAGCAACTCCCTACTCTGCCATTTGCCCACCTCGCAGAGAAACACTTCCTACTGTTTCTTCTCCCACTTGTCTGCATATTCCTAAGTAACATGCCTTATACCGTTTTTTAGCTTTTCAGTTTTAGAAATTATCTGTTGATTTCGTACCACAGAAGATGAAAATTAAGCTCTTATATCACCTGCTCCCACCTTCTGACCACATACACGTCCCCTTTTCTATCCTTCCCAACAAAGCTAAACTCAAATATTTGGTTAGAAACTGTTTTTTTTAAATTTTACATTATAAATATTGTTCACAGGTGGGCCAAGTAAAGCATAGTTTCATTTCCTTTCTTGTATAACTTTATCTTTCCTGGAATTAATAAGCATTCCTTTTTCATTTGCTTACTTTCCTACATTTCTATCATCAAAAGTGCTTTTAATGTGATCAGGTACACCAGATCCAAGTGGGTAAAGGAGGGGTGCTGTGGCATCATGCCGGAAGTACATCCAGACAGTTGCCTGGCAAGAAATGTCCCCATCAGAAGCACAACCACATCTTGCCTGTGTCTGCACAGAGTACAAAAAGGTACCATGCTTCCCAGAGCAAACGTGGAACTGGGTCAGATTTTCAGTCAGTAAAACAAAGCCCCGAAAAGCCCTTTTATTTCTAGGCTTATTTGGTTTACAGATATAGCTATTTTAGAATATCTGGCATTTAAAAAATAGCAACTGTTTATTCTTACTTTTCGTGTGTGTGTGTGTGTGTGTGTGAGGAAGATTGGCTCCAAGCTAACATCTGTGCCATTCTTCCTCTATTTTATGTGGTTGGCCGCCGCAGCATGGCTTGATGAGCGGTGCCAGGTCCACACCCGGGATCCAAACCTGTGAAACCCTGGGCCACTGAAGCGGAGCATGTGAACTTAACCACTACACCACCAGGCCAGCCCTGACAACTGTTTGTTTTTAGATAATGTAAAGGACATTATTAAATGTAGATTTAATGCTGAAGACTGTCTGAAGGTTCAGTTCCTCAAATCTAACTCAACTGAAATGAAGTCTAGAGGCTCAAGAAACAGCAAAGGGCTTTTCATGGTCCTCATGCATGAGAAAAAGAAAATTCTACAATCTAACTATGTGAATCTTTTCACTATGAAAAATAATGCTATGAAGAATATGAACTTTAACGTGTATGTATATGTCAACCACAGTGTAAAATTTCTCACAGAGAAATGGATCTTTCTCATATTTGATTAAGTAAGGAGTAACCTTCCTCTGACATGGGTATATACCACACTCACAAAGAATACTGCTTTAACTAACCTTTCTAGGCTTTCTTTCTTCTTAGATTTCTTGCTCCGCCTCACCATCCGGCTCTTATAGCTGTTTCTCCTGGCTGGTCCCGTTTTGATTGACGTGTTTTCAAATGGAGTAGTAGTGATTGACACCTTATTTCCACTCTATAAACAAAACGGGATGGCATTAAAGGGAGATGCTATGATGAAAGAAGATGAGAACAAAGAGGAGATTCAAAGACAATAAAGATCCATAAGGACATACATACTGAAGGCCTTCCATTTCTAAATAACCCTTAAGCAGTACAGTCCTGACGGAATACAACCTGGGGGTAGGCAAAATGTGAGGTTTCTTTAAGAGGGTGGGCTCCAGAGACCTGAGTTCAGTCCAGGCTGAGCAGGCTGCCCCTCCTCCCTCTGCCTTCACTGCTGTACTCTCTCACAGGAGAGGCACACCTCTCAGCGCTGCATGAGACAGGGCTGCTAAAGCCTTTCACACCAGGCATGACACATGGAAAGGGCTCCATAAATACTGTTCTCTTCATCCATATGTGTTAAGTATAACTGTGCCCAAGGGCTGCTTACTCTTGGTTGACTTTTTTTTTCTTTTTCCTCCTTTTTGTGTTTTCCCTTTGACCTAGAAATCATAAAGTAGCAAAATTGAATGCAACTTTCATTTTTAATTATTTTAAAAGGTTCCTTTTCTATCACCATAAAGCCTGTCAGCTTGCAGAGCTGGAAGTTTATACCAGCAAGTATGAAACAGCCTCTCTTTAACCAGGGCACACGTGGTGAGGTGATGCCTGCTGGGTTCTGTGCCCTTTCACTGGGTCCTGGGACAGGGGCTTGCTGGGCAGACCCCGGGGACGGATTTGAGAGTGGAGTCAGAAGGCAGCTGAGAGGTGCTGGGCCCGCCCAGGGCAGGCGGGCAGGACTGATCCCCTTCACTTTGGTACCAATGACCTCTTCTTGAATTTCTTAAAAACTAGGGAGAAACATGTCTTTTCAAAGTCACAGATGGCCCTAATTACCTTGAAAGACAAGAAGTATAAGGAGAAGGGCCTTTTAAAAGGTCTATGCCTGCACCTAGCAAATCAGCTCTAAGTGGTCTTAAGTGAGAGGGAGCTAAGCACAGTGCTGACAGAGGACAGGAAAACAGGAACTGACTGTTTTAATGTTAATACCCAGTGTCCCATCCCCCACCACCCCCAATTTGGGAAGAAACACATGCCATTACAAGAAGAAAAGAGTAAAGCATAAACAAAAGAATAGAAATGACTGAGAAGCTTACCACCCAGCTCACACTGGTAATATTTCAGTATATTTCCTGCTGGTCTTTTTTCAGGCATGTATAAATTATGTACATATAGAGACATACTTTATAAGTAATCTTAATGTTAATTAATCTAATGTTTAGTTTTATGTTCCTTTTTCATTTCACGTTACATAACTTTGAAAAATTTTCCATTCATCATTGAGTATTCTCTAAGAACATAATTTTTATTGGCTGTATAATAATATTCCCTGAGATGGGTGAGCCAACAGTTAACTGTTTCCTTACTGCTATTGGTTTCTACTTTTTAAATCTTCTAAGAGTTGAAATAAATATCCTTATCTATAAATCATTATCCTAACCTTTGACATTTTCCTTAGATTATGTAATTAGACTCAAAATACTGAATCTAAAGGTATATCTGAACTCTTTAAAGACTCTTGGTACATACTGATATCCTATTTTCTAGAACCTTTATGTCAATTTATACTCTTGCCAGAAGCACATGAATACCTATCTCAACGCAGCCTTGTCAGAACTGAATATTAACATTAAACAAATTATCGATTTTGTAGAAAAAAGTTATATCAAGTTTCAATCTTCATTCTTGGACAATTAGCAGGCTGGATGTTGTTTCATTTATTTTGGTCATTTGTGTTTCTTTAAGGAACGATTTGTCCACGTCTTATATCCAATTTAGAATCGGAAAGTCTTCGTATTTTCTTATTGATTTTAGAGTTCTTTATATAATTAAGAGCAAACAATGCCTTACCTAAGGTCATAATTGTAAAAAAAATATTTTAGGGAAATTGGGTTTGAACTTGAACAAGAAAAAAAATATTACTTTCATTCTCAAAGAATAAATTAAATGTTCTATATGCAAATACCAAAACTTAAAAAAAAAAAAAAACCTTTATCTGATAGTAGAGATTGACATTCTATTTATTCTTCAAACAGAAAATTCAGCTTATGAAACGTCTACCAATGAAGGTTGTTTGAAATGGTGTCTTCTCTTTATGAATTGAGTGAGACCATGCTAAAAGTCTAGTTTTTCCTATATGCCTTAGGTGAAGGAAAAGGGCAACAGATGTGGGTGGAGTGCATCTTTCACTGAAGGTTTTTCAATGCTTTTCCACATTCCTACACAGCGTGGACACACAGAACCATTATAATGATCACGGGGGGCGGCTCTTGCGCACGCGCCCTGAGCCTGAATCCAGTCCTACCCTTTCCTAAGACAACTCAGCACCGACTTTCACATCTTTATCTATAAGAGGCTAACAATGCCACCTGGCATTTTAAAAGCACATTTTGAATATTATTTTTCACATATATTATTTTACTTTATTTTTACAATCAAGTGGTGAAGGTTGTTTTTTCCACAACCTTATGACATATATAGGGAAGGGATTATCTTTGCATTCTAGATAAGGAAGACGGATTCAGAGGCACTGAGATTCTTCTTTCCTAAGGTTGCAGAGCCCGATGGAAGACCCCAAACCTGGCTCTCCTGGCTCTCCCACCAGTGCTCACTCCCATGGGCAGGGCAGGCCCTGATCCTCTCCACTCTCTTGTTCCAGCAGAGTACATAGCTTGTATCTGGTGAGTGGTGGTGAGGGTACCAGGCACTGGATTGACAGGCGGAACAATCATAGCATCAGATTGTCCAGAACACATAATAATATCATAAACATTGTATAAACTGCGTATAATATAAATGCTGAACACTTCTCACCAGAAAACAGTTACGCCCAGGGCTTGCTAAATCAGAGCACGTCACTAGGCTCTGTACAAATGTCCCTTCCCCTATAAAAATCAGACCCAATTTTCTTGTTCCTACACATGGCTGTGGCAGAGGACAGTTCACTTGACTTATGGAAATACGCCAAGAGATAACTTCCCTAAGGGAAATACACGAAAGATGTTGTGTGCAAATATTTGGTTAGAAACATCAATAAACATGGAAATGGTAAATGACTGGAAAAATAACTTTATAGAGAATAGGTGAGAAATATGAAGCCTGCCACCTGGTGGATCCTTCAGCTACAGCAAGTGCTGCCTGAACTTGCTGCCAGGCGGCTCACTGGGTCGCTTCATCCTCAATAAATTCTTTTGGAGAACGAGCAACCTCTCATCAGAGAAATTCTGTGCCACTTGTTTAAAAAATAACAACAAAAAATGGGGCCTGCAGTCTGTTAAATGTTCAGTTAGTTCACTTTTACTTTAAACTATCTGTGTGATCAGCGCGTGGTGGGACTGGCTGTGCTGAACACAACAGCAGAAGTCAGGCTATCCAATCCCTTCTCTCAGTCTGGCTCCAAGCTAGCTTATCAGTGGGCCTCGGGTAACTCAGCGAATGAGACTATTTTTACATTTCTTCCTCTGCAAAACGCACAGGGGAAATGGCGCTCTTCCTGCGTACCTGTGTCCTTGCCCTGATGCACACCCTCCATAATCCACTCCCAGCCATCTTGCACGCTTCACTGCATATATGAACCCAGGCTCCCGCCACACTGGTTTGCTCAAGCACCTCGAGTCCTTTGAGCTCTCCTGCCTTTGTGTTTTTACACCCCTCTTTGTTTTGCTGATAGCACCCCGCCCCTCCTCCCCATATACTAACTCTCCACATCCTCTACAGCCCGACACAGATAACCCCCAATCTTCATCCCTGTCCATCCTGGTGGAAGGCCATCTCTCTTTCAGAACTTTGGCTATGTTTACAGTCTGTTCCTTATGTTTGACACTGTGATTGAAGCCTGGTAGTGCCACTGTTTTCCCCTGTGAACACTGGACTGGCAGTCACTGGCAATCGGAGAGCGGCACGTCTGGAGCACTATGGCGTAGCGGTGGAAAGCAGAGGCTCCAGAGCCGTGCTGCCAGGGTGCAAATCCTCTTCTGCTCCTTCCTGGCAGAGAAGCTTGGGTTGCTTTGCTAACTTCCCTCTGCTTTGATTTCTTCATCTGTAAAATGGGGACATTTATAGCACCTATCTCATAGGCTGTGAGGGTTACATGAGTTCATTTGTGTGAAGCACTCTCTATCAACTACTATTCTGATGTGCCGTTTGTTGTGTGACCCTTCAGTACCTGTCACAATGCTCTGTACATTTTGGGGGCTCAGCAAATATGTGAGGATAGTAGTGATGCTATTGGATGGCTCCCATTTTAGCATCCAGAGGTTCCTCAGACTTTGTGGAAAGGAAATCTTTGAAGCAGGAGCTGAGGAAGTTTCAGATCTTCTCTTATGCAGTGGGGATTTAAATTAATACTATCCTAAGAAAGCCACCTGGTTGAACAAAGTTTCCTGGATAAGAGAGGTTCAGCGGGCACTTTGTCCCGTGAGCAGGGATAGGACGGGGTCTGTATGGCCTCCACCCACCACTGCAGTAGGTACAGAAAGATTTCAGTGCATTTAAGAAGTTCTTTTACAAAGATTAATGCTACCTGAAAGACAAAAGGAGGCCATTAAGGCCTGGTGGCAGGAGGGGTTTGAGGCAACCTGAGGAGCATATTTTAAGGGATTTGCAGAGCCAATGGGGAGTTGATCTGGACAGCCATGAGATTCCGTAACTCCACGGACCTGGGATGCTCAGAGACTCTGGACGAGTTTCCCTATGCATGTAAGTTAGCGCTTCCATAGCAGCTTCACTTTGAAGTTGTGAGGATACGTGAGACCAAACGTGAAGACATGAAACGTGGAAAATGCTTCTATGTTCGCGATCCAAAAGGTAAGTGAGTATTATGTATGTACTTCCAACATACACACACAGCCCTAGGTGATGCCTCCTACCCCTCTTTCTGAGGGTGTCCTGAGATTCTGTAAAGTAGTCTGCAAGTATAAAACATCGTGTAAATAGCATTCAAGAATACCAAAATACAGCTACCACTCTGATGTTCTGTCAGTGATGGCACATAGGAGCCCACTGTAGATGCCAGGTACTTTACAATTTGTCCAAGAATTGCTGGTTGATTACACAGTTCACTGGGAAGATAATTAAATCCCTGTGTCCTCTCTGTTTCATTACACTGTGTACTCCTCTGGAGTGCTTCCTTACAAATGAGAGGCAGAATGCTCCACTTGGATCTGTGACAGAGCACGCCACCGCTTCGAAGGGTGCCAAAGGCTCTCCACACAGCATGCTTACACAACTTCAGAGACACACACTGACTAGATCCAGGAATGAAGACACTCCGTAACCAGATGCGGCAAAATGTTATAAATGAGATCATTTGATTGTGCCAAGAGATCTTGCCAGGGACCTTGAGAAGAAAGGTACATTCAAATTTCATAGAAGCAGGAAGACAGGTTTTAAAATCCAGAATCCTATTAAAATACTTTATAAAATAAATCATAAAAGTCATCAATTATGTCTCAGAAAAATATACAAATGCCTCATTTTCCAAAGACATATATTTGAACTTATTATTTCTTCTTCTGATTTTATGAGCAGATAGAAGAAATGATGTAGAGCTATGCTGTGGCAAAAGCCACACAGCAGGTGACACAATACTGTTATAAAGGATGTAGAGGCCAAACACGTGTCACTATTTAAAACCCCTCTGACCTTTTAATTGCTGATGCCAAGATCTAGAAAAGCTCTGATAGGATGAATAACAACTAAGAGAAGCTCACCCAGGAAACAGACGTATTATCTAAAACAAAGGGTCAAGGTGAGCTATTAAAAAGCTCAAGGAACATTTTAGAGACAGATAACATGCTCTGCATGCCTCCCTTCACGGTCCCCAACCAACTGGAAATGCTTACATACAGACATAGGAGACAGAGGGAAAAAACCGAAACAACCTCCCTGGGCCCTTACTCACAAGGGTGGATCTGTGAGTCGGCAGTGGCGTACCCGGGACCACAGGCTCAGGTATTACGAGATAAGCAGCTAGTCAGACTCAGGAATCTTTGTACCTCTCCTGGAATTTTGTCTTGGGGAGTCTGAGGTCATTTCAGGTGACTTTCACAGCCAAGGGATCTCAAAGTCAGCAGTCCTGCTCTGCCTCGCATTTCTTGGACGCTTACTCTGAGAGAGCCATTCCACGGCAATTGGAAAAAGAATACTATCAGAGACAGACGGTGAATGAAACTAAAAAACCAGGTCTTATCTACACAGGTGCCACAAGTGGCATTTGTTTGTACTCAGTAGCCATATTGTGAAGTGTAGACTAACTCCGGCCATCTTTAGGCTTTCACTACCAAATTGAATGGCATGTACATCAAGACATGAGTCAAGACATGACAAAATTAGTCATGTGGCACTTGGCTCCTCCTGTGGTAACTTCTGGACAGCAAGCAAAGGAGCACCCCGTGGTTCACCTTGATTCCACGAATATTTATTGAGTATCCACCCATATATACACCAGGCACTGGGTAAGCGCTGGGATGATGGGGAAGCTGTAACAGTAACTCCTCCTCTCTCCTGAAGAGCTGCTGTCAGATTCCCTGTGTTCAGAACGAGCATAAGCTGATTTCCAACAGAGCCCATGGCTCTGCAGTGTTCTCTCGACATTCAGTCCTATCCCTCCGGTGATCAATAGCATGCCTTTGTAAGGAAGTTGGTCAGAGTTAGGGGAAAGCCCTGTGGGTAAGAAGACAGCAAAGCCAGCTCCCAAGCTCCAAGGCGCCTGAGCCTAAGACCACAATCTCATTACTGCTGTGAATTAATCAACAGCAACAACTTCCACAATCTACCACTTCACACTGGACCTTTGAATATATATGCTATTTCCACTCCTGGAGCCTGGGTCAGACCCTCAATCTTTTTAAGAACACTCTTGTGTTGGCTGTGGAATGACAGAAAAAGAAGGGGAAAAGTCATCTAACTGTACTTACTTGTGAAAGGCTTTGCATACCCACTTCCCTGTAGTACCTTCCACATTCCTACTTTTCTTTCAAGTTCCAGTTAAATGTCGCTTCCCTGTGATACCTCTTCCCACTCATAGAATATTATCTCCAAAAGTATGACAGGCTTCTCCCTGCTACAGCCCTGACTAATTAAGTTGTCCTTTATCTGCTAATAGATATCTCCTACGTCTCCCATGCTTCTCAAGGGCAAGGACTATGCCTTAATTCTGTGTTACCAATGTCACTAATGTACCTGGCTCAGAGCAAGTGTTCTGGAAACAGTCTCTCCATGGATGGTATTCAAATTACGCATATGTGTTGATGCTGTGTTTCCCTAAACAGGCTGTAGGTTATTTGAAGCTATGGTTTACACCTCTGTCTGGTGGCCTCAGATAGCCCTTTACAGTGCTCATGAAGCAAGAGATCATCCAAAATCTGTTGATTTGTAAAATCATCCTACAACTAGAGACTGCATTTCTGAACACAGATAAATTCGTCTTCTTTTTCTGAAAAAATTTAAAATCAAACTCAAAGTCATCTGTATTTGTTTCAACCAGATCCAGATTTGGGGCTATCACCATCTTCTATGGTCAGCAGGTGGCAAAGCACAGAGCAGAACTGAGAGGGCCACTGCAGACTCTCTCTCTCCTCACATTCACACTTCTTCTGAGCTTCTGACTTCATGGGTTTTATTCAGCTTACATGTTAAATAGAAACTGATCGCCATTCAAATTCCTTGGTACGAGGGAAGAAAAGGCCCAGTGATTGCTAGAACCCCTTCTTTGATTACTACCTACTTCTATAATTTATAGTCTATGCGTATATATTCACGCTTCTATCTTTCAAAGGAAATCCAACTCTCAGACTAACCTTTCAGATCACACCCCATAGTTTAATACCAGTTTGTCTTCTACCATGCTAGAATAAAAGCTAGTGAATGTTCCTGAAGAAAATCACCTTAAGGCTGGGTGATTTCAAACAGATTTTACTATGTGAGGTACTTAAAGAGAACTCTTACTATTTATAATTTAGAATAAGAAGCAAAATTAAATTAGGAAGTGATTATGCAGATATAAGAACATGTTTTTCACAATACAAAACCAGAGAATTCATGACATATTTGTCTTTACATTAAACCTTAGACTACTCCATACTTTCTCAGCAATGAGACTGTGCATGCATGGGTGTGCCGCAGAGACAAACTCTGGAACTCAAGCATAGAACTCTTGGTGTTCTGCTTCTTTCTGGCTACCTGCTTCATCTCTATGGCTACCACATAAAAAGGACAATACCTTTAGCAACAGCTCTATCACTTCCGTGTGGACAAGTCCATGCACCGGTTCTCCATTGATGTGCGTGATCAGGTCCCCAGCCTTCAGTCCAGCCTGGCATGCTGGACTTCCTTCTTCTACATTCTAAAGTCCAAGAAGAGAGTATATGTTTGTAAGCAAACAAATGACAACCCTACTGTTTCTACTTGCAGAATATTTTGAGTTAATTAGCAAATGATCCTGAACTCCTAAGAGAAAATCAAAAAGGCATGGTTACTATTGCATTCTGCCATCATCCTAAAATGGGAGAAATCCTATGGTTTCCTAAGAAATTTCAGGTGATTTGAGAAGGTGTTTTGTTTTGTTTCTATTTTTATTTTTTTAAAAGAACACCAGGGAAAAAACTAAGAAGAAGAGAATGAAAAAAGGATGGAAATAGGACTGTCTTTGACTATTTCTACTAGACTGGTACCAAGAGTGGACAATCAAATGTGAAAACTGGACTGAACTATGAGAAAGGGTTAATTTTCACTAAATTCAATTCCACCACATAGATAAAGGGAAAAAGCCCTAAAAAGAAGTGGAACAGGTCCCAAATGGCAGCTTAAGAGAAAATGCATTTGCTGTTAACTATGCCTCAGCCAACTTGTCCATTCTCCAGTTTGGCTAGGAATGAAAACTAACAAGGATGAGAGACTGTTGGTCTTACCCAAACGATATGGTGCACCGTGTAGATGTCACTGTCTCCCACGTACACCCGGATGGCGCGGATGGTGAAGCCATAGTTCTTCCCTGAACTGTGGATCACAATGGGCTGATGGGGACTGGCAGAAGCCGCTGAAGAATCCCGGCTGGGAGAGGAATCTCGTGAAGAAGAAGGGTCGGAGGACAGGGAATGGGGAGACATTGGGCTTCCCAGTGGAGACACAGCAAACATATCTGCAAGAAAGCAGCCAGTCATCAAAGCTGATCCTGACCACGCCAACGTCCAGGCAGCCAGCCTCAGCATGCCAGCCCTGTCAGGACTGGGAGCATAGTCGCAAAACAAGTCCATTCACTTCTAATAGCAGAAGCAAGAAGAAATGGTATAAAAATATTTATGTTGGTAACTAGCATGGATTTCAAAACAGAAGCTTGTCAAGGACATTTCAAAAGTTCTCTATTTTAATTAATTTTTCAATTAATACTCTAAAATCATAATTTCTTTGTTTCCTACACTAATGAAAACACACAAAAAACTTAGCTGCTATCTGGCTGTGATAGTTTTATTGAATTCATTTTATTTTAATTAAGGAAACAAGCGATGGATGCATGAATTTTTTGAGCACAGCCTCACAGAGAGTGGACTCTGGACCACAGTAAACAGTTCTTAGACTCCAAGCCTTGCCCTAAATAACTTTAACACAGTCCTTTTCAAACACCCATGGCCAGGACCGTGATTTCCAATTTGCTAGCTGCTTTTTACACTATTATTGAACTATTACTTATTAAAGAATTTGATCAAGAAAACAATGAAATGGCAACTTCTCTATAAAAGAATCACTCCTTGTTACTATGGTTACAACTGATTCTCTTCATATATTACCTGCAATTCTCATATGGTTTCCAAGAGGATAATGCAGGTGAAATAGAGAAATTTTAAGAGAAACTCAGTTCATACTCCAAAACACCAATTCTACGCTGTTTTCCTTATTTTATAAGCAAACACACTTTTAATTTATAGCTCATATCACTGTTCCATCTATGTGAATCGAAGCAGACTTTAGCTGGTGATATGAAATTGTGGGTGTTTGAGAAAAAGAATAATGTACAAAAGATGCTGAGGCTGAAATGTGAGCTCAGCTGGAGCCAGGCTGCAGAGTGCCCAGCACTACTGAAAACTCACCAGGCGTGATGAGTATCACCATGGCCACAGTAGGCTGAAAGCATCATACTACTATCATTGTTCCAGTTCTATGTCTGTCCAAAGTAGAATAAAGCTAAACGTATCACTATGCGTGCTCCTGCACTCTCTGACTTCATGTGGCATCGCGGTGCTGTTTTGCTGACTACCTTCTATCTAATCCAGAGGCCAGGTGAAGAGACATACACTGGTGGGCAGAGAACTTCAAAACATGCAAGCAGGAAGGGGACTGAGTGGATACACATTAGATCCAAACTGCTAAAAAGTCAGGCCTCCAATTCTTTAACTCATGACAGTTTCCCTTATCTCTCCAAAGGGAATGATTTCTCTACTTTCTCATGATGTAGGCTTTCTCACCAGCTTTCAGAAGTGAACTGGACCACATCACACTTATCTTCCTGACTGAAGCTGCCCTGAGGCCATTGCCTTCGAATATAAACATTCATTCAAACTAGGGAGATAGGTGTTTGTTTTATGGCGCTAAATGGGACATCTCCCAGAAAACAGAATATGCTCGAACACACACTACCCCCAAATGAGCATTTGTTTATATCCAATTTCTTTCTGCACAAATTTGAAATTTCAAAAATGTAAACAATCTCTTTTATACATGGTCTGCATTCTTCCAAATGCAAGCCATCTGCAACATAATTCATTCCCACTTCCACTCTCTTGCTGTCATTTGAGTGAGAAGTCACAACCACCAGGGTGTGTATTTCACCTCTGCCAGTGGAATTACTATGGACACAGTGATTAGCAGAGGCAAAATCAGGTTGTGGAACAATACCGCAATTCAACAAAACCATAATTAAGCGCAGTTTTCTAATACTGGGTGGAAAATGATTTGACTACCAGTAGGAGGAAGCAGAGCTCAACAGACAGGCCTGAGAGAACTTATAATCTCAGCGCTGTCTGACTCTCTACATCCCCAGAAATGAAAAACTTATGTTCTTTCTATTTCTTCATTAATTAGATGAGAAAAACTATACTTAGCTTTCCAACACAGAGGCTGCAAACAGCTCTGTAAAGTATATAAATGATGAATAGTCTAGGAAGAAAAACTATTCAGAGGAGGGAAATTTATCACTTAACTTGGAGAGCAGGAAAGAAAACAAATAAAAGAAATAAGCTTTTGTGGGAAGGAAGCCTCATCTCCCACTGCAGAAAGAAGTGAGAGGAAGTGAACCACACATGCTCCCTGGGAGCTCTGGACGTCCTGCAGGGAGATGCTGGAGGGAGCTGTGCTGGGACACCAACCGTTGGTCCCTGCTTCAAGCAATCTTGCAACTCAATCAGCAGTCCCCTGGGGGAAGGGGGGGCACATGCACAAATCACACAATTTCATGCGAGTTGATGTCTCTCTACCTCCTGGGATCATGAGGGACAGAGCACTGGCAGAAAGGGACTTTGTGACTTTCCCCGAGATTTTCTTTTTCTCTGTGCTTTCTAATCGCTGCCGAGCCATGTGGGAAGCGGGTTCACTGGATGGCTTTGAGGAATTATCTGTATTGTCCACACACTCGCTTCGTCCATTTATCTGATCCAAGTGCTCTGAAAAACTGCCAACTGTACAAAGAAGAAGGAATAAACACATTCAGGAAAATCTGGGATAGGAGGGGTGGGGAGAGGGGAGGAGAGAGAGAAGGAAGGACAGAGGCTGGAAACACACTCCCACGCAGCTCAGGAGTCCTCAGAGGGTCAGGCAAACGTTAACAACACATGACTGGTTTGAGAAAGGTGACATGGAGGAGGAAAAGACGAAAGAGGTATCCATTAGGTTTCATTCTACCTATACACAAGTCTGCTAATTGTCAGTAGATGCCTCCATTTAATGAGGAGAATAATTAGTTTCCCGAATCTATATTTTACAACCCTCATAAAGACAAGTCTCACCACCCACTATGAAAGGCCATGCTCTGAACCAAACATCACCTTATGAGCACCATGACCGCCCACTGTGTACTAGGATTATACTATGCTGCTAATGATCATGATTAGCAACACTGTTAATAATGGTTTTTTGACTGTGGACATCATTTAATTAGTCCATTGCAGGCTTATGCCTGTGTTATCTCTTAGCATCTTCCTAGGACACACCTCATGCTAGGCTCAGGTACAATACTTACAGAAAAGTGCCTAAGGTGTCTCCTTTGACTTCCCACACCACACACCTCCTTTCATTCTAAGCTCCTTGTAAATTTCAAAAGACAAGACAGAGGATATTACGCACTACATTAGTCAATGGCTCACTACATCCTCTTAATTTAGATAGTCTGTCATATGCTGATCTGCCCTGAAGTTAATGGACCGGTGGGACAATTCCTTCCCCTCTAAGCCAGCCATGCTTTCTTTATCTTTAATTTTATTAACCTTAATATAAACTGGAAGGTTTTTTTTTTTTTTTGTAGTTAAAAAATGAGGACTTCCCTCAGCAGAGGATCATAAGATAATATAACCATGTAGGATGATACAGAAATGAAAAATCACTCTTGTCGGTCTGGTGACTACACAGACCAAGAGTAAAGAAAGTTCTTGAGCAGAAGTGCCATGCTGAGTTCCCCAGAGAAAAGCTGAATGGCCACCCCTTTTGGTTTCTCCTACTCCTTCTCTCACAGGCTATCAGTTTTCTGTTTTCTTTCTTTTTTTAATTGTTAATAATATATCTTTGTCCATCCAGAAAAAACGATGCTAATCTTATTTTTGCCTATAAATGCTACATATAAGCCCCTTGTGCTTTAAAAATCATCACCACTACTATCACCTTAACAAAAAACAATCCAAGCGGAGAATTTAATACTATTATAAATGATCCTTTGAAAGACCAGCTAGCACATTTTAAAGTGCTGACCACACGATGTTCTTTGTCTAGAAAAGAGTGAGGATTAGACTTTAGCATTTCGGTGACACTGCTATATATACACCACTTGGTTGCACAGTTGAAGCTTGGCCCTAGTTCATGGGAGGTGGCACAGACCCTCCAGGTGGGGTCCAAGCAAGGGGAAGCCCGGGATGTGGGAGAGTGGGCGTGGGCATAGCACAGTTCACGGCCGTCTACTCTGCCGTAGGTACAGGAAAAGATTCACCGGCTTCCACGAGGCAAGCATCCGACCCACAAAGGAAGCCAATCTTAAGGCAAATATCAACAATCTTTCTACTCCCATACGCCAAACTCGAACTCACTTAACAGTACATTTATTTCATTCGCTCTAAATAAAGAAATCAACTGCCGAAGGCCTTGATAAAAACTGCTTCGCACATCGAAAATCTCATCTCACAAAACTTAAGTTCACTTTTGGGTAAGTTACACGCTCCGTTCTCTTCCTTCCTAGTTTGGTTTGGATGCGATCATTGATAAGTATAAAATGAAAAGCTGCATCTCTTTACAATGAATAATTTGTTGGATGCATTCAAGCACCACACCTAAGACTTCAAGACTTTTACTTTTCACTGATTCAAATACAAGGTAGTTAAGAAAAAAGAGAAACAGGTATAAAGCTGTACCTCCCTAAATGCCAGAGTGTGAATATACAATGTTCTCTTTTATCACCCCTCCTTCTTGCTTCATAGCACAGTATATAAGCGTGTGTTTCTTTTCTGCCAATGGTAGATAATGTCACCTTAATGTTCTGGAAATGTCAAGGATTCTTCCTTTTTGATGGCGGAGCAATATAAAAATCAACAAATTTAATTTTACTACAGTCATGGTTTTCAGATTCCCTAATTACCCTTGGCTATGAGCAAATCAGCTCATCCCTCTATTGTCTACAGCCCCCAAGGTCTTTGACTATTTTTAGTGTATGTATGGGGGAGACAGAGAGAAAGGTGGTTTGAATCTATTAATCAAAATGCATGGCAGGGCCTTGGCAGATGTTTTTTTTAAATGACGAAAGTAATCAATCAAATGCTTAGATGCTGTTTCCCTCCCTCTACGTCCTCCCCTTCTGACAGTGAGTAGGCTGAAGAGGTCAGCAACAACTCACCATATTAAGAAGTTTTAAATGGGGGTAAGTATACTCCGTGCAGAGTAAGATAACAAACTAAGAAACAGCTGAGACCTTAGTAACCAGAAATAGAAACTAGTGAGATATCTACATCTGATTTGGTTGCCAACATGAGCTAAAAGTGGTCAGGAATCGTAGACTGCTAGGTTGTGTCTGCACTACTTCTTCACTGCTATTCTCTTGGCTTTATGCAAGAATTAGACAAGTGGGATTATCCTACATGGAAACAGAAGTGAGGTGAAGAGAGGGAAGAGAGAAACCCAACATTACTCTTCCCCATGATAAACTATAAGCACATGTGCAGCTCCATAGAACCAAACTTTTAGTGATGCTGAAATAAACCCAGCCTGTAAAACTGGTTTTCCTGAAATGATTTAAAAAACCTTACATTATGAATATTCAGTTAGTTAAAAAAGTATTCATGAAAAATCTTGGAATCATTCATGGTTATCAATATAACATACTGAATATGACTTAATGAAAACATTTATTATAGCGATGCTAAGCCATATCCGTGCTTTATTTTCTCAAAAAAGCATAAACGCACATTGCCCTGTAGAAGGATATGCTATGTATAAGATTTTTATAAACCAAATAACATGTGAAATGCACTTCAAGGGCTTGCTCTGAGGGAAGTGCAAGTTTGATTACCTAATGAGGATACCTCCATTACTAAGGGCCAGCAAGTCTCCATGATACATTCAACATCTTAGAAATCTGTGAAGACACTGTTCCTCTTGTTGGGAAGGTTACTTCACACAAAAGTGACCTTATAAAGCGCTTTCACAGAAAAGACCCAAAACTCCTTGACTGCCTCCCAAGCAGCCAAAGATGTCTCAGGAGTTTCTTTACTCCAGGTACCCAGCCGGGGAAGGTAACTTTTGTCTGCAGTGAAGTTGTTTCATATGCACAGAAAATATCACTTTGCATTGTGTGCCCTCTCCCCTCTCAGTCCTAGACGCATGGAGGCAGCACAGCATCCTCTGGCACTCACCGACGGTCTGGCGCGGAGAGGGAAGTTATTTGGTACAATCTGGCCCCATAACAAAACCAATTTCTTCAAAGAAACAACCATCCATTTCAACACTGGAGGGAAAACTGGCTTTATACTGTATTTTATGGGTGATTTAAGACATTGGTGAGGGTAATTTTGACCATTTGACTATTTGATATTGTCCCTTATTCCTAATTTTAGCTAAACGCAACTCCACAAGACATGCGTTTGCATCAACAACAGAGAACATCCTCCCTTAGTGTGTTCTGACTGTCATCCAAGGATCTCACGGAAACCCAGCTGTGAAAGCTAAGGCTGGCTCTTGGGTCAAACTGAAGCCAGAAGGGTGTGCTGTGTGGCCATGCACTAAGGAGGGTCTGGGACAGTTGATCTTAGTTCTTAGGGGCTCATCCCTCAAGCCCAAGAAGCACAGCTGTGGAGGGAGTCTAGCAGCACAAAGCACTCACCACCACCCCCCGATGAGACCAGGCCTGGGACTCAGAGCATGGGCAGTCACCTCCCAGTGTGGTGGATGAGGGGTGGATGGCAGGTACCTGGCCCAGGGCCTTACCTGACAGAGTGGAGCTGCTGATGGTGCTGGCTGGGGTGGTGACCTCAGGCTCCTCCTGAGGACACTCTGCAGGAGGAAGGGCTGGCTTTTCTGGCTCCTCGTGGGGGTCTCCAGGGCAGGAAGCAGCTGCATCTTGTCCTGCCTCTGCTGAAATAGCCAGTTTGGGAAGCAGGCCAGAACTGAGTTTACGTCTGTTGCTTTCTGTATCTGAAGAGTTGGATGTGGATAACTGTTGCCTTAATCAAAACAAAAACAAAGTCATATATACATACCAGGAAACTATGTTCAAGGCAAATTTTGGAGGAAACCAGGTAAAAATGGAACTTGGATAAGCCTAATCAACACCCATCTAGTGCAGTGGTTCTTAAAGCCTGGTACCCAGAGGAGCAGCAGCAGCATCACCTGCGAACTTGACAGAAATGCACATTCCCTGCCCCCATCCCAGATCTACTGGATCAGAGACTCTGCTAAAAACACCCAGCAGTCGGTGTTTTCATAAGCCTCCAGGTGATTCTGACGCACCCTCACGTTTGAGAACCACTGCTCTAGTTGCTACTGCTTATGATATTTTTTAACAGGCATTTCACATACATTTCAGAATATTCTGAACTCCAGCTTAACGTTTCTGTGGATGGCAAAGTTGTGCTTTTCGTTTTGTCCGCAGGGTCTTCCTTCTCTTCTCCTGAATTCTGAGTTATTCGATCTATACTGCTGAAAACCTGGAAGGCAAATAGTCAGTGCTTATCAGTAGCTTCTTAAAAGAGTGTGTCAGAAAAAACTCCACATCTTGGGAGAAAAACTTTATAGTACGACTAGAGTTTGAATTGGGACTGTGAATTCAGAAGGTACTTCCAATGCTGTTCACTTAGTCGTGAGACGAATGGTCACTGCATAATTTTTTTCTTTTGGAGTGGGGAGCTATGAATCCATCACCCTCTCACCATGTCTCGCTATGGACTTGGTATCTGCAAACAAAATCCATAGATACATTTGGGTTTCTAGGCCTGGGGATCAATGCATACTTTAGATTACTTTTCAACCATGAAGTCAATCAGAAAAAGAAAATCACAGAGAAAAAGATTTAATGGCCACTAGAAGGGGGGGGGGGGGGCGAGAAAAATGAATTGGAATTGAGTGTGAAGAGAAGGACAAATTACCTGTTTCAAGACTTATGTGCAGGGGAGGGTATAGTATATATTTGGTTATGAGTCAGACATATCTCTTTGGCTTATGAATCACATATACAGACAGGCAGCTTCCTATGTTGGTACTGGGATTTCTGAAGGGTATGAGCGCTTACTTAGGCAAACCCGAGGTCTCTGTGGTCTCACAGGAAAGATGGAAGGGAAAACGGGCTGAGAGCCAGGGCAGGAAGCACTCCCTCCCATCCCACTCAGCCACTTGCTGCTCTCACGGGAATGGCCCTTGGACCTCCTATAATCTACGAGTTAGGAGGAAGGTGGCTAGAGAACAGGAGACGGCGGGAAGGAAACAGGGTGTAGGGGCTAGCCAGAGAACAGGTACTGGTGTGAGCCGATATTCAGCGTTACCACAGCCTCTGTCCTGGCCGTGGGACAGATCCGCCACCACTCCAGCGAAATCTCTACCTCACTTTGTCATTTTGACAAACAGGGAGGCAGTGCGGGCCACTTTGCAGACGCACTCTAGGTAGTCACTTAGATAAAGGTACAGAACACTTTAAAGTCACTAAATGCTATAGAAAAGCTAAACAATAATCAAGCAAAGTGCCATGGCAACAGAAAATATATAGCTACTGAAAATAGCAAAAGGGAGGTGGGGTGCCCTCTAGGTGCATTTCCATTTTCCTAGGGCCCCGCCCTGCCTCAGGACTATCAGGTTTCTTTGTTTTGTTTGTTTGTTTTTTAATCTTACCACAATCAGTAAAAAAGCACCTTTGTCAAACACTGATTTTATTATCTTCTACCATTTCCAAAATTCTAGCTTGGCTTCCTACTGTGTCTTTAATATAACTTACATTTTCCCTTACTGGTTACAAGACTTTCTCATTCCACAATGAGTGGTCCCCTAGTGTCTCGCCTTATTTCAAGGATGAAGCCTTCTCCTTTGTGTTGTATTCTGTGCGACCCTGGGAGAGGCGTCAGTGCACAATGAGCTCAATGTTCTTCAGCATAAGATGAAAGAAATGGGGGGATGCCCCACAGCCCGGCACGGAGCTAGGCCAGGGCACGCAAGGCGCGCTCAGCACGTATATGGCACCACGTGCTCCAAAGACAAGACTCCGAGCGTAAGTTTGTCCCTCCAAGAAAAAAAGATTGATCTGTGCAGAGTGAAACAGAGAAATACACTCCTGTGGGGGGCAGGGACTCTGGATTATCAAGATGGTGGGGTCACTTTCCCTAAACAAAAAGGTATTTTAAGTACAGGAGACGCCAAGACTCAAAACACTGCAGGTGGTTCGCACACTCCTGCCCAGCTATTTAGGGGCACCTACCATCTGGCCAGTGAGAAAATCTCCCAGAGAGTCCCGGTATGTTTATGCCGTATTTCACTTACTTTTGAAAACCGATGTGAACATGAGGAAAACTGCCTTATCTCCACGTTAAAGTCTTCATCATTCGTGTCATCCTCTTCCTCGGTCTCCATGTGATGATACTTCTCTGACCGAGCTGCAGAGAAATGGTTGGCAACAGTTCCCATTACTCCGAATTTTGGCTGTTAATTTAGACATTTTAATTAGGAGTTTCTATATCAAAGCAACATCCCATTTAAGAACTCATAGGTTCAAGATTGGAAGGTGCTATCAAAAGTGGAGATAATATTCGACGAAGTAAACAATGTTTTATATCAGATAATGCACATACTATCAAAATAACTTGTGTCATCTTCGGATTCCAGTTGGGGAATAAATTCTGCCTTCTGTCTCAGCAAACTGTTCCAGTCTAAAGAACGGAAGAACCGATGCTGTTTGACTTCATACGCACCACCTTGGGACGGGGAGTGGAGGAAGGACAGAGAGAAAGTGTTAAACTATCCTCCAAGCAAAGGGAAACATCAGTTTTTACAGGCGACCAGGAAAACAGAAAATCTATCCACAGAGAAATGAAGAAGTCATGGAAATCTTACTTTTTCATTCTATAACCAAACCCCCCCCCCCAAAATCTTCCCATAATTTATTAGCAGATTTGATTTTGCTAACAGCAGTTGCTATGCCACAGTTTTTCTCTGTTATTTTTTCCATGACTTCCTCCCTTTTTCAAAGGTTAATGATGCGGCCACTTAAAATCACATTATGCTGAACCTGGGGACCTGGACACATGTTGGCCCAAAGCAGACTTGCTCATTACATATCCAAAGAAATTCTAACAAGGCGCAAAATTGTCCTCAGCAGTATTTCCTCTGGAGGTAAGGTTAATAAAGATGAATTTTTCCTAAATAGTATATAATGGTTACTCTTCAATGTTATTGGATTGCTTATTAACATAGGCAGGAATTAGATTCTTTGTATTATAGATTCTTTTTTTTTTTTTTTTGAGGAAGATTAGCCCTGAGCTAACTGCTGCCAATCCTCCTCTTTTTGCTGAGGAAGACTGGCCCTGAGCTAACATCCATGCCCATCTTCCTCCACTTTATATGTGGGACGCCTACCACAGCATGGCGTGCCAAGGGGTGCCATGTCCGCACCCAGGATCTGAACCGTTGAACCCCAGGCTGCCGAAGCGGAATGTTTGCACTTAACTGCTGCGCTACTGGGCCGGCCCCTATATTACAGATTCTTAAGTAAGTAACTGGCAAATCTGATAGATTTATATGCATGTGATGAAAATCAATTGCAATTCTTAAGTTTTAGGCTTCTTTTTGCCAAGTCAGCATGATAGCACAATTCAGTGAAAATGTTTTTTAATTCAATGCATGACTTGGAAGAGTGATTTTGAAAGGCAGATGTCATCAAAATATAACACCCTACCCCATGTAAAGAGAAGAAAGTACACAAGTTTTAAAATCATAGTGTGAGAATCAGGCCTCCACCCTGTACTCCCCACCCCCACCCCCGGTTCATGAGGGAAATAAGGAAGAACCAATCCTGAAAAAACACCAGGAGGAGAGATTACTCACAAGACTAATACCAGCATCTAATCAGCCTCCCTGCCAGGAGATGCCCCTCTAAGTCTGATGTAAACACCTCTTTAATGCAGTTGTCACCCATGTTTCTCATCCTGTCCTCAGTGGGGTACAAAAGGAATAGGATGAGAAATGCAAGCTGAATGAAAAATGGGCTTGGATCTTGGGGCAGGGGAACTGTCTGTGTAGTTCAAAGATGTGGCTCTGTCACCATCAGGCCCCTCTAGCCCAAGGTGCAGGTCAGAGCTCCAAGCCCCGCCAGGGGAAACTAGAGTTCTTAAAACAATGGAAGGGAGAGTTAAGGGTAAAGTATGAAAATCCCCCCTAAAAAGGGAGAACGGGTTCTTCTTTACAAAGCATTTGATTGGAATCTTTCTCTAGGATCCTATCCAGGCATTCTCTGTCTTCACAGCACGATACTCAAGTCTGATGGTGATCACAACAGGAATGGCATCAGCAGTGGGATTTGAGGGCTGACTTCGACAAGCATTGCACTGGATGCTAGAGGCATCTTGTTCCCTTCAACTAACTCATTAAAAGTAACCCCACAACGAAGTAGGCATTATCAACTCCATTTTTAGAGGGGGAAACTGAGGATAAGCAATTAAGTATTCTGGACCAAGATCAGCCAGTGGGTAAGGTTTAGAGGGGCTGAGCTGAGGTCTGTCTAAAAACACCCAGGTCCATCCTCAGTGCCATAATGCCACACGCCATATAAGGGGAAGGCATGTTTTAGTTCAGATCCTATCCTGCCATCTCTCTTGCACCAGTTTGGAAATGAATTCACAACTGCCGATCCTGGGGAACATGGCTGAGCAGCCAATTCCTGAGGCTGTTCCCATGGCACCTCTGCATAGTCCAGCTCCAGTCCTCCATGCCTCCTGGCTGTCACCTAGCCCAACCAACAGCCTGAAACACAGCTGGTGACATTTTCTTGTAGTGCTCTTATCTTGGAGTAGCTTAAAGGGCTTAAATATTTACCTACCCAACTCCCTCACTGTGCCAACGACACTGAGGTCCAAAGAGGCAAGCCCTACTTGGTGGCCCACCATACACTATAATGCAATGACTACCACTTCAGTGGCTGCTCGTGGGGCCATATCACATGACAGCTCTGATAATCTGAGGCAGCTCAACTTTACCTAGAAAAGCAGTTCTCTAGAGCCAAGGGCTCCATCAGCACTTCTGGATCACAGCCAGAGTGTCCGGTTTTTCACTCCCCGGCCTGCCACCCTTTGGGACCCAAGTCAGGGAGAACATTTGCTTCATTCCTGTGGATGATGACAAATGGGTCCTCCCCAAGGAGTCACAGCCCATTGCTGACCCAGCTCACATTTCTCCAACTCTGGCCTTTAAGCCCCATTGAGAAGAGGTTGCTTATCACTGGGTCCTGTTCCTCATGCACTTTTAAAGGGATGGGGAAGAAAAGAATTAAAGGGACACACCGGGGAAGAATTATCTCTGGGCTAAACTGTTGGTACAATACGGATGAGGGCATTATGAACCAAATACAAATTATCAGACCCAGGAACTCATGAACTTGACAGCTTCCATTGTAAGAATTCTTCAAGAAGGGAAGGGAAACTGATTACTTCTTGGGGTCCTATAATGCACTAGGTTGATGTACTAGACACTTCCACGAACATGTTTGCATTTAGTCCTCACCATAATCTCATGAGGTGCATAACATGTCCATTTTCACAGATTAGGAAACTGAGACTCTGGGCAATGAAGAAACTATTCCAGACCTCCCAGCGGGTACACGGGTGGGAGTCAGTCACATCTGAGCAGCTCAAAAGTCCAATGAGCCATGCTGCCACTCAAAACTCTACAAGTTCAAAAGTCTAGTCCAAGGACGCCAAGTTCCCCAGTTGCAAGTTATGCTTTGGCACTAATGTTCTCCCTTGAGTTTTTCTCTCCTTTCAGGGAAGTTTCTTAAACATCCATCATGTTCTTCACACTCCTTTTCTCAGCCTCTCTAGTCTCTCGGGCAAATGTGCATTCGCACATTTTCACGGTGCATTATTTTGCCCGCTAAATATGCATTAAATCCAAAACGCTGTCATTGGAAGCAGCATGGCAGGCCTGCGGGATTCTCCGCCTTATTCTCCGGGCCCTACTGGGATCTGTCATGTTGGACCTGCCTGCTTGGCAAGTACTTCCTGACAATGCTAAGAGCTTGGGCAGGGTCTTTTAAATATCTCTTTTGAGCTTCTGCTAGGAGATTTGTTTCTCAAATTGTCAAACCCTGAAAAGACCGAAAGCAGAGGTCAAGGAGAAAATGTGCAGACAGCTAACCTGCAGCATATAATATATAAACCTGAATGCGCTAACCATCATCATAGCCTCATCTCATTAAAGCTAGCCCCATTCAAGAATCCAAGTATTCTTAGAGGGAAACGGGCAGAGTATTAAGTGGGAAACTCCAAACTGACACATGAACACTGAAGGGAAGGGTGCTCTTTCAAGGGGGTGCCAATTCTAATATATGCTTAATCATACCTTAGGACAACACTTCTCCGGGAGAGTTGATTAGGGCATATAAATAAATATTTGTACTGTTGCAGAACAACCTTAAAATGCCACTGCTTCTCACATTTGGCTCAAAGAGTAAAAATCACTCCTCAACACTCTGCCCCATACAGAGCCTTGACACTAATTCTTTGACAGCTTCTCACATCTCTTGAACCATAAAGCAAATCTGACCGCAGGTCACAGAGGGTGGGAAATAACAAGTTTGATAGTCACTGTAAGGCAAGAGGAAAACCAAACAGGATGGGAAGAAATATCGAGTACTCTATTCAAAGAGCTCAATCAGCTCAAAGGTTGCGGGGGGGGGGGGGGGGGGGGGGAGGGGGCGGTACCGCCACCATTTCTGTATCTTGTATGTCCAAAATGGAAAGCATGAGATTATACTTGCAGAAAATTAACAACGACAAAACCAACAGCACTGTCCCCACAGGTTCTAAGAGGCAGAGTGGATGATCTTGCACCCTCACAATAATCCTGTGATGTGGCACTACTATAAGCTCCATTTCACAGACAAGGAAATGAGGCACAGAAAGGTAAACCACCTGTCCATGGTCACACAGCTGAGATTTAAACTCAGGCAATCTGACTCTGGAGTTTGTGTTCTTAACGTCCATTTAAATTGCCTTTCCCAGTTAAAGGCCCACTCATCCGCTGAAAGAGGAAAAAAAGGCAGATGGTATTCCAGTAACAGCCTCAACTCAAAAAGGTTTTCCCAACTGAGCCCTGATTTTAAACCTTCTTGGATTCTCTAATACACAGTCTGCAAGATTTTTCTGTAAAAGGCCAAATAGTGAATATTTCAGGCTTTCTGGGCCCTGGAGTCTGTCATGACTACTCAGCTCTGGCACCGTAGCATGAAAGCAGCCATGGACAATATGTGAATGAATGGCATTACCGTGTCTCACTAAAACTTTGCTTACACAATAAAGATTTGGCCCATGGGTTTCACTGCATCATCATAAACTCTAGTAACACAGCACCCCACATTTAAGCAAGAACAGAACCCTCCAACTGGGGAAGCTGTGGGCAACACAGCTTACATTGTGTATATAACAACTCTTATATTGTGGAGAACAATATATATATTTGGAGCTGTTGCAAATGATTTTTGTCTTGGAAAAAATAGGGGAGAGAATGATTTCTTCAGTGTTTTCTGATATTTCTATCAAAATAGGGTAGAATGAAACAGTTCAGAGTAAACAACCATCAAGTCAAGAATTTTCACTGATGAAAATTATGGATACTTTGTACGTGTTGTGTGTGTTTCTATTTAATATTTAGTCTCATTTAGATGAAACCACATACGAGGGCAGGCTGGAACCCTATATTGAAATCTCTATGCCTGTCTACTCAGAATATAAGGAGAAAAAAGAAAAAGAAGGGCAGAAACAAAAAATTGGAAGCAGAACGGTCAGGACAAATAATCAGCAAGAAACAAATCTACTATCTCCTTAATCTTGAAAGTCAGTGGTTTTTAACACCCCATCTCGGCACCAGGCCCTGGTGCTGATCCCAGCGATGGCACAGCAGGCTTCAACCCCAGGCGCTCATTTCTACTAATTAGTTCAAGTACTGATAAGCCACTTCAAAGCCCGAGACAGTGACGTACTGGGTCAAATGCTTCTGGGAATATATGTATTTTTTTAAAAACCCAAACAAAAAAAGCTTCGCATCTCTATCCTCTGTTTCAAATTATTTAAGATATGTTTGTTTCAGGACAGACGAGTTACATTTGCCTTTGAGGTTTTCTTCCAGAAATAATTTACTTATTGAAACAAATTAAGAATAATTTCTGATTTGCAAAAAACAAGAACAACAATAAACTACCACCAACCCTCCTAGTGTACATACTGCTCTGAATCAGAAAAAAAGTCTAAAATAGGATTGTTCTAATGTGTTGTAGTCACGTTCTACAGCGACTAACAGATGTTTCCTATGCAAAGAACAGAACACAAACAGAAACCTCTGAGGCCCCACATAGATACAATTTCTTGCATACTAGTAAAATTAAAACATATGTGCTCTAACCTGTTCCCAGTCTCTCCAGGGGATTCTGCCTGAGAAGCAAGGTAATCAGATCCTGGGCATCAGGTGGGGGCGCCTCATCCTTCTCAGGCCAGTTGATCTCATCTAGAAGGAAGAAAAGTAGTTTACAACTTTATTGCTCAAATGCTGGTCCAGGTCCCAACAGCGTGAACTCACCTGGGAGCTGTTAGAAATGCATCATTTCAGGCCCCACCCCAGACCCACTGAATCAGAATCAGCATTTAAGGAGCTCTTCAGTTGATTCCTAGGCCCAGGCAAGTTTGAGAGGCATTGTTTTACAAGGGATGAATAGCACAGGTTTTAACAAGGCAGGGAGAGAATACTTCAACAAGCAGTGTCCTTCATTTGCCTTTTTCATTCACTTTTCTTTGGCAGAATTGGCTCACGACAAATTGCTCCTTCTAGTTATTAAGAAGACTCAACATAGTGGAAACTCTGAACACGTGCATTTCAGGTGCTCGCCCATCCAGGCATCATCTGACAGTAACATTTCCTCTCCGACAATTCTCAGCTGAGGATTCGGCCACAGCCGCAGAGCTCTTCAGCTCCGAGAAGCAAAAAACAATTTAAAAACAGTAGAAGTAACTGTTTCCAGAGACAAAGGAAAGGTCAAAAATGCTAAGACTGAAGGAGAAAAAAAATCCAAAGTAATCAGAGTAATGGAAGTATTTAAAATCTGTCATAAATATTAGACTATGTTCTACATTCTAAAGGAGTTTGCCTGAAGATAGGTGTGCGTGCTTGTGTGTGTGGAAATGCAATAAAAACATGAGTTATATCTGTGTGTGCCTGCCTCTAGCTTCCTCTGCTGCAGTTTAAATCTGATTTGGAAAATCAAACATGAATATGCATCTGAGCCGTGAGGCATCGAGAACAAAGCCAGCATTTGCTGCTTGTGTTAATTAAACAGTTGATTCCTCTTGCCATTCAGGCCTTAGTGTATCAGAAAACAGCCTAGTTATAAATCCATAAACAGCTCAGATATTGTATAAAAGGGTTATACACTGCAGGCAACTCACAAATCTACTTTGTTAAAGTTTACAAATATGCCTGGCTCGCAAAGTCAATGATAGAAAATAATACTGTGATTCAAGGGCTCCTCATATCAAAACGAATTTTCTCCCTATTTCCACTGCTGGACCCTGTAAGCATAGTCCAGAACGCACCGGAGGTGGGTGATGGAGATGTCAGCGATAACTGACAAACTTTGAGGAAGACAGGCCTTTTTGATCTATGCTTCGGGGAAATTTACAAAAACAGCAGGTAGAGCCTATTTAATTATCATTTAGTTTTGCCACAAGCTGCATAACAATAGTTAGGGTCAGCTTGTAGGTTAAGATCTAAAGGTTATTGAATTTTAAATGAAAGATGAACAGCTGTTACAGAAACAACATTACACCATAACAACTACCAATGAAATCATTAACAATCTGTGGATTAAATTTGCTTCCTTCCCATTCTCATTATTTATTATTTGGTAGACATTTGTTTTAGGGTTTATTACATTTTTGTTAATTTCTTCACTGTGCCATTAGCCATTTTTCCCATTTATGCAAATGGTACTCACATTAACCTTTTCTTCCCTGGTGCAACTTTCCTATTATGGAAAGGAAGACTGGATGGCATTGAAATCATTTACAAATCCCACACCAATTTCTTTTACAGAAAAAGCAAACCATAAAAGTTGGTTACATTGCTAGCGCATTTCCAAATTCCATGTTAACAAAACTCCGTCAGATCAATTCTCAACACAAATTGCTCTCTTGAGATTGTGAAAGTCAGTTATGTGCTATGATGAGTGAGTTCTTTTAATTTGTTGGCTAAACTGTTTGATAAAGGTTAACATTTTAGCAGTAAAAACTGCCATACTCCACAGAATTACACTAAATAGCTGCTTCCCAACAGTGGCTTAAAGATAACTCCTGATGACATTTACCACTGATGACTTGTCCAAATAGCTCTTCTGGAGTGTCCCCAAAGAATGGCACGCATCCAACCAGAAATTCATAGAGGATAATCCCCATGGCCCACCAGTCCACCGGCTTCCCGTATCCCTGCCTCAGAATCACTTCTGGTGCAATGTATTCAGGTGTGCCGCAGACCTAAAGATGATTGGAATATCAGAATAATAGGAATATTAGGCATGAATTAAAATGAGCAATATGGCTAAACACCAATTATTTTGTCCAGAGTACACCTGCTCAACCACATGGAACCACACGGACAAAGGACTTAAGAACAACAATTATAAGTTGGTAACTCTAATACCAAAGGCAATAAATTACTTAAACACCAAAGAAGGGAAATTTAAAATGCTGCTCTAATGCTAAACTATGTGTAATGTGTAATTTCAGATTGAAGATTTGACCCTTTTTGGTAGTTTTACTTATTTGACAATATTAAAGACATTTGTAATCCTTAAATTTAAAATAATAATGCATTTTTTTACCTGTCACTGTCAGAGATCGTTTTAGTATTTATATGACCAAAATATATTCACACTCTGGTAACTCCATAAAAGCATGACAGTTGAGATGTGTTTACCTTAAGTAACTTTACAATGAACAGATTGTGGGCACATGGTAATGAGGCATGCTTAAAGGGAAATGGGCCATGGCTCGGATTTTAGCAGCCGTGATTGTACGATGCATCAAGAGTTTCATGAGTACTCTACTGAGACTCCTGAATTTCTTACAAAAACAGTTTTCCATTTGTCTCTCTCAGACTCTCATCTTGTGTGCAATTAGATCGTTCGTCTTGCTAATAGACCATAATGTTGGGGGAGGAATGAGGAGGAGCGGACAGTTCAAAGAGGCCCAGGGAGAAAAATGGAAGGAATTTGCACTTTATTAAATGCAAGGCTTACATAGACATCTAAACCCCTCCTGGTACTAATGTGAAGACAGCCTGCACAAGTGGATTCCGAATTTCACTGGCAATAGTGTACTTTGTATTTCTCTACAGACCTGAATAGCACGTAAGCTTACCTGTTTGTCCAGGAACTCTCGAGCATCCTTCTCAATGTGACCCTCATAAAGATTGGTAGTCATGCTCATCAGTCCCACCTTGGATAATCCAAAATCTGTCAGCTTTATGTGCCCCATGGAGGTGACCAACAAGCTACAAAGCGAAGGACATATATTACAACGCTCACTTCGAAGCTGGTTCTTTTCTTTTTAGCTTTCTCCCTCCCCCGTCAATTTGTAAGACTATTTGGTATATAGTATCAACCTTATTACAAAGTCCAGCCTGGGAAGAGATGAAGCCACACAAAGATGTCAATTACTTGCATCTGGTGGCTGAGTGTAATTCACAAAGGATGGCCAGAGGCCAGGCCCACTTAATCTTTGTTGGAGCAGCTACATACAGTATCATTTACAACTTAAAACTCTTAGAAAAATTCAAGTGTGGAATTCTGACATCTTTCCTCTGCAGAATAAGGAATTAGAAGAGAAAGGGCTACCAATAATCCCTCCCTTGTCACACATCAGGAACTAAGATAAGCAACTCATCTGTGATTTAAATGAGACATGAGATAAAGAACTTGGACAGAAAAATGTAGTATTGTTTCAGATTTCAACTTCCAGCTCAAATTGAAACTTCTACTCATTAAGCAAAAAACCCTACATTTCTTATACATGCAAAGAATTCACATTTGGCAGCTTTATGAACTTACGTTTTTAAAAATTTTCGTTTTAAGGGGAAAGAAAAATTTTAATTAAAAATTAAAGGAACAGAGGAGTTGGAAAAAAAAAGAAAAGCTACTGGAAGTAAATATGCCAAAATTCTATTAGCTGTCCTTGTTTGGTAATGTTGTGAATGAAATTTTTAAGTTTTTCTGCACTTTCCAAATTTTCTGGAATGAGCATGAGTTAATTTTATCATGAAATTTTCAGTGCACTTAAAATCTTTACATATTAACACGTAATGCTCTTAGAGGTGTCTCAAATTAGTAGACAAAGCATGAAATGTTTAATAAACGGCGTCAAGATGAACAGCTAGTCATTTGGGGAAAAAAGCATCTATCTGCATGTCAGATCAGACACCACTAAAATGAATTTCAGATAGATTAGAAATTAAATTCAAAATCAAACTGTGAGTAAAAAGAACATAATATCAAGTATATCCTCTTGGAGTACTTGATACCAAATGCAGAAACTATTCAGAAAACCAGTAGCATTCTATGCAGCTATTCAAAAGTTTACATAATAAAAAGAAGTATTTATTTTTTTTTAGGTTTTATTTTTAGGTTATTTTTATTTTATTTTAGGTTATTAACTAACCCTGGCTTTATAATCATCTTTTTCTTGTTTCTTATAAGCTACTATTATCAGCATCATAGCCTTTAAAGGATTATATAAAAATTCCCATACGTACTGTTAAAATAATTCATTTGAGAATATTACGGGAGAATTTTAAAAAGCGCAAAGCAGCATTAAAAGAAAACATTGTTATAGACCTAGGAAAACTTTTTGTATTGTGTGTAAAAAAGACCTGTATTTCATCAGTGTACGTACTTGTCTGGTTTCAAGTCCCGGTGTACGATTCCATAATTATGGAGATATTCCAAGGCCAGGACTGTCTCAGCAAAGTACATCCTGGCCATGTCGACAGGGAGGGGACCCATGTTCTTCATCAAGGTAGCGCAGTCGCCCCCTGGAAAACACAAGGAAAAGATGCAGCAGGCACAGCATCAGCTAGGACTGAAGGAGACCAGCAGTTCAGGTCGCAGAAGTGAACTTCAAAGTGGAACGGCCTCTACCCTCAGACACACTATATCATGTTCATAAGTGGAGACTGCGTGTTAAGTAATCATGTTTCTAATTAAGATGCGGTGTTGAGAAACTATATATTTCTATTGAAGAAGCAGCACTCACAAGAGAGAAGATTCGGCTCTGAAGTAGAACTGAAATTTGAAGAAGTGCTGGCGTGATTTTAGAAACACGGCGACAATTTAAAATACACCAGAATAAAACATGGATTCCAGAATCAGGCTGCCTGAGCTCAGACCAAATCCTAGCTCTGACTCTCACCGGCGGGGAGATCTTAGGCCAACTAGTCTTGGTTATTTCATCTGTAACATCGGAATGGTAACAGTGTCATCTCTTTCAGGATTATTGTGAGGATTAAATGAGGTAATCTACGTAAAGAATTTAGGATATTGCTAACACATATTAAACATGTGAAAAATCTTAGTTATTGATGTTAAATTAACTACAACAAAGGTTCATACGGCAAAGTATTGGTGTGGCGAAAAGAACAATGGGAGGAAATCAAGCAAGCTTTGTTTTTGTCTTCTAACGGCCACTAAATAACTAGTAATTCTCTCCAGAATTTCAGTTCACTCATCTGCAAAATGAAAAGGGCAAACTAAACGATATTTAAACATTTCTTCACGTTTTATAGTTTTGGGATTGTGTTCAAACAGTTACAAGAGCTTAAATTAGCTGCTTTGAATATTGTTTTGGCCCTTGGTGATCTATTTATTTATTTATTTTTAATTTTTTTATTTTTTGAGGAAGATTAGCCATGAGCTAACATCTGCTGCCAATCCTCCTTTTTTTTGCTGAGGAAGATAGGCCCGGAGCTAACATCTATGCCCATCTTCCTCTATTTTTCATATGTGGGATGCGTGCCGGAGCATGGCTTGACAAGCAGTGCATAGGCCTGCATCTAGGATTCGAACCAGCGAACCCCGGGGCCTCCGAAGCAGCACGAACTTAACCACTGTGCCACCAGGCTGGCCCTGGTCTATTTATTTTTTTAACTTTGTTTATATCAACAAGTCATGGCCACTCAAATACTCAGAACGGATGAAAATAAGATTACTTGGAGCACTTAAAAGGTAGATCATAAACTTCCAAAAAGAAAAAGATTTTCCACAATGTATCTTCTTTCTCCTAAAGCTTTTTTTATTTCATACCATAGACCAAAAGGATGTATTTTAAATTCACCCTTTAAGAAGTTCAATTATAATGAATGTTTTTATGATATGTGATAAAAATAAGTACGGAAAATCCCATCATCTATATTCTAACTCTAATGACCAACTGAGAGGAGGAAGGTGGGAGTAGAAGTTACTAACACAAGAAAACAACCTTTTACCAAATAGCACTAATTTTCCCTTTGCTATAGCAGAGCAGGCATTTTACAAGCAATTATCAGAAGATAATGACTGGGAATACAGACATCTCATCGCTTGGCCTCAGTGCCTCAGTGGATACAACCAAATACAGAGGCTTCAGTCACACAAACGAGTGAGGGTTTCTGGGAGCGGCGGTCACGTTCTCTGTGTCAGAGATGATTTACCTTCCACATATTCCATGACCATGCACAGGTGGCGCCTTGTTTCAAAGGAGCAATACATGCTGACGACAAAAGGGTTTTCTGCAAAAGTCAGGATATCCCGTTCCACAAAGGCCTGCTGGATCTGGTTTCGGAGGATGAGGTTCTGTTTATTAATCTTCTTCATGGCAAACCTCTGTCTGGATTCCTTATGCCGAACAAAGTAGACTGCCCTGAAAAGGAGCACAAGAGTTGGGGTTCACAGGAAGAGAGGATGCTTCCGGGTACAGTAAACCATGCGATCATCAACTTAAAACTTCACAAGGCAGCCGGAATTCAGCTCACACACGCTATGCTGGCAGCTACACACATCCCATTCTAGGCCAAAGTCTTCAGCTAGATTGATTTTCTTTTAAAAATTCTTTCAGTAAAGGTCACAGACCATACATAAGGCATCAAATTCATCTTCACTGCTGAAGGAAGGAAATGGACAGTCTCCAGAGTGAGCTATTTTCCAAGCTAGCTGATGTTTTCCATTTTTCCACAAATAAAAACAAAATCCAATATATAAGTCAGAACAGGAAAGAATAAACAAAGTACACACACATCATGAGCTAGATACGTTAGGTATTTTTTCTCAACTGACTAAAGCAATAATTTTCTATATGATACCCTTGGGATCTGCATAAAGGACCGTAGCCCCTTAGAGCAGTTGGCTTCCAACTGGAGAGTAACGTACTTCCCATGAAATTTCCAGATAAATGAGAAGCGTGTAATAGGTCATATGAGGCTGTCCTGCAACAAAGAGTGGCATGTTTCCTCCCTACAGACCTTGGCATGAGTTACACCTATGGCTCTTTCAACCGGAAATGCATTTCCCAACTTAAAAGTGGGCCAACAATACGCTGCATTTCTGCTCCATCTGACCCATGGCCAAGGTGTCAGGCAACTTTCTTGGGAAATGAGCAGGATGCACTTAATCTTTGCCAAAAACCTCACCCAAATACTCTACAGAACCAGTTCTGGCTGGGTAAAGACAAGGGACTCCCTGAAGCTTTGAATGACGTGGCGGAAAGAAGTAATTAGGAGGAGGAGTCTTCAAACCCCATCTGGAAATGATAAGCAACAAGGACAATGTCTTGGATGGGCTCCTTTTCTCCTCAGTTACTCCTAACTTGTCGTCATTGTGGGAGAACAGAACTGAACTCTCAGGCTAGGCAAAATTCAAATAAGTAATAACTTACAAAAAAAAAGCCATCAATCATTAGACGTATGTAATAGCTTACATGAGACTGTCCTGCAACAAACACAATGATCAAATAAGTAATAATTTACCTAAAAAGCAATCAATCACAGGATAGTTTATCCAACGGTCTGCCTCCTAAAACAAGGGGTATCTGATTTGAGATGCATTTTCCACTAGTTATTTTCATGGTTCCTGAAAAATGAATGCAAGGGGGACTAGAACACCCTACATTCCTGCTGGACCAATATATCAGGGTGATCCACTTCCATCAATCTTGAGGATATGCAATCTCAGTTTAATCAATACTCACATCTTCCCCTTAAGTGTTCAACCAGGAATTCACTTTTCTTTAAAAAAAAATGTGTGATTTTATGAGTGAAGAGAAAAGGTGGCTACTTCATGTATGGATATCTCTCTCTGTCTTCTTATTGTATCCACCTTTTCCCTTCACTCATAAAATCACACATTTTTTTTTTTTCGTCTCTGTTTAAACCTTACATTGTTTTTCGCTTTGCTGTTTTTTCTCTCTCCTTATTTGTCTGGTCTTCTAGTTCTTCCTTTACTGTACAGTAAAAAGCCCTCTTAACCACGCTCCACAGAACCAACTCGAGGAATAATCTGGTGCTCTTATTCCCACTGTACAACAAACTGACATGGGAGCTGGCCAGCTGGGTGCCCAAGGCTGTCTGCACAGGCTAGTCATCCTCCTTCAGGAAGCTCTGACTCTTGGGCTCCTCCCACCAGCTGGGTTTATTTCCACATCGTTTTCCTGGCTAGGCTTGATATCATGAGTAACTAAATTAAACAAATGTTTAAACTGATGAAACATGAGTATGAAAAGGGAAAGCATCGTTTATAAGAAAACTAAATGGAATGCTTTGGAAAGTATTGATAAATGTGAGTTACTAAATACAATCCCCATTGTTTTAGAATGGGTGAGATTTCCAAGACTTGAGAAAATAATAAAAATGTAAATTCCTACATTCAGATTACTTCAAATTCTTCTTCAACTTTAAAGAAGCTAAAATGGGAAAACAGAAACAATGTATTATAAGTATGGTTTATATTGGCTGTCTTAAAAAGGCCTTACATCAAAAGACTAGTAAATTTATGTATACTTAGGTTAAATTAAAATATTTAAAGTATATATCTTTTTTTATGATTTCCTACTTTAACCAACTTTTTAATTAACCAACTAATCATTCTTTATAAATCAAATTAAAGGTTTTTACAATAGTATTTTTCTTTTTCCAATTGCTGATTGGATAAAATCAAGGTCCAAAGAAAACTGAGCTTCTCATAACAAGGTGATGGCAGAAGGACAGACAGACATGAAGGGAGCACAGAAAATACAAGACAAACAATATGAACAAATATCAGGAAGAGGGATTTTTGAAATAGAGAATCTATTTTTTAAAATGAAATTCAGAATTCAAATGTTAAAAGGAAAATAAGTGTCTTTATATAATCACTCGCCTGTTTTTTTTTTTTTTT